AAAATGCCTTCAACAGGTTGAAAGAATTTAGATAATTTGTTTTACAGAGAGATAAGGGCCTGACATTTAACACAACCCCAGGTGCATGTGGTTTCTTAAAAAATGTCAAAAAGGTCACATGGTTTTAGTGTACAAAGTCAGAAAAACAAGATATTTTTGAGTGTCTCAACTGAAATGAAGCATAAATAAAAATTCCCATTATAAAAAGTAAGAAATTATTTAACTATTATAAAATTATTTTCTTGATTTTTGCCCATTTTTGTTAATAATGAAGGCAATAACATCTTGTTAAATAATTTGCTAAACTCTTTGTTTTAAAGTAATTCAATCTGGAGCCTTAATTTATTATTTCCATACTGATTTTGCATTGTGAAATATAGCACTAGGAATAATTCATGCTTTAATAGGTATGGTTGTACCAGTATTTAAAATGTTATGGATTTGTTCCAACTTCTAATGGAATTTCATAATAGAAATTGTTCTTTTCTTTGTGAAGCTAATTAATCACTTTGAATACTGATCTTCATTAGAACTAACCAAATTGAAATTTATATAACTATGTTCATCTCCTTTTTACATATATAGTAGTAGATATAGTAATTTACATATATAGTAATATACTTAATTTCACACTTAATATTTTATTTAAATGTAAGAAATGAATATAATGAAGACATCTCTTAGTTCTTGATATTGTATGCTTTTTGAAGTTTTAGTGGTTAGAGTTGAATTAATGAGACTTAGTTGTTGATATTATTTACTGCTGCTTATACAGAACTTCATATTTGTTTCTATTGCTTTTATTTTGATGGAAGGAATGTGGTTATAACAAATGAATGTGTTATAACATAGGAATTATTTTACTTTTCCTCTATAAGCTATTTTGGTTTTATATCATAAATTATACTTGTTACTTTAAAATTATTGTTTAACAATTATTATTTAAGCAGGAAATAAATTTTCTCCTTGTTCCAACAGGGCAGATAAGTATTCTGAAGAAAGGTTTATAAACAAGGAAATGGTGACCCAGCTGATTTAATGGGGCTACAAATAAATGTTAAGGTTGGGAGGATGAAAGCATCCCTAGCTCCTCATCCTGTACCCCAGCTGTGCCTTTTACCATAACTGTGGGCCTAAAGTTACATCCTGTATAACTTAATGGGAGTTGTATTTACTGAATTATTTCCTTGAGGGTAGATGTTTGTCATAGTTTAGTATACACCCTCAGGAAAGTATAATTTTACTTAATGAATTCAATGAAGATTTGATAGCCTGTAAACTAAAATATATTAATTTATTGTTTTGCACAAAAGCTATATCTATAATAATGGAAGTAAAGAAGGAACCTACAATTCTACCATCTTGATAAGTATCTTCCCATCCTAATCCCTTCTAGTCTTTACCAAGAATCACATTTGAAACATCTGAAATTTTGCCTTACATTTTCTGGATTTTTTTTTTTTTTTAAAATAAATTGAATTCCTTATTTGGAGATTTACTTTGAAGCTCAGGTCAGCTCCTGGCTACTCCTGAAGAATATTCGCAGAGAATGTACTTACCAAGTATAGGTCAGGCCTCAAATAGCTATAGTTAGGCTTTCTTACCAAGAATTCCAGCAGACTATGTTTTTAGTACATAGCCAAGGTCATAAACACCCTGATTCAGGATATATTCCCAAGGTCATAAACATTTGCTAGTGAGCATGAGCTCACTTATGTAACATGTTGGCAGTGTGCTTTCTTTGTTTGGCCTGCATATAAAAAAGGCCTATGGAAGGATTAGGGGGTGGGGCTAGAAGTTGAGAGCTGCTGCTACTTCTGAATAAAGCCTTTTCTACTATCCCAACCTTGCCTCACATCTTCTTTTATCTGTTGGGGTCCTGAATTTGTTTCCCAGGGTCTTAGCCTCAGCCAGAGTATGGAAGTTGGAGGAGTACCTTCTGAGGCTGGGAAGAGTTTCTATGGGTTCCTTTGAAATACAACAATCTTATAGGTAGGAAGGGTAGGTTGCATCAGGGGGGGGCAATTTCTATTCATTAGACTACTGCTGAATGTAGTCTAGAGAATTCTATTGCCTATTATACTATAAGGCAATATATATCATTGACTAACATAAACCCTTTGTAACTTTAAGTTCAAATTGTGGAAGCCATGCTTCAGGGTTTGTTTTGTTTTGTTTTATAGTGGGTCTAAACTTGACCGCTGGTACTTGCTCACAAATGAATTATATCCTGATCAAAAAGAAAATGGCACAAAAGAAATAAGATAACACTTTGACAAAAGAAGAATATGTGTCTTATTGAAATTTATTCCACGTTGATTATAGCTGGGTGAGGCAAGTGAAATACAGAATATTTATTATCATATAACAAATGCTTTCAATAGGTATGTATTCATATCTGTTATATAGATATGTGTACAGGTATGTATTCATATCTGTTTAAAGAAAAACTAGACTCACATGAAGCATAATCTTTTGGAAGGTAATTAAGAATGTAATCAAGTTAAGAAATACTATTCTTAAATGTAATTGAGTTAAAAAATATAATCTTTAAATTACTACCAAAAATTAAAACAATATCAAATTTAATATATGGTAGGTAAATCAAACTTACGCTTTTCCCCTGGAAATGAGTCAACTTTATCTTGATTATAGCATATATGACCCTTTCTTAGCCTCGCTTTCAGGCTAAAGCCATACATGAGAGATAACAAAACTTTTTCTAGTCTGATATTTAATTTGCCATTTAAGATCTTATAGGTAGGAAGGGTAGGTTGCATCAGGGGGGGACAATTTCTATTCATTAGACTACTGCTGAATCAGTAGTCTAGAGAATTCTTTTTTTTTAAAAAATTTTTTTATTGTTGGCTGTTCAAAACATTACATAGTTCTTGATATATCATATTTCACACTTTGATTCAAGTGGGTTATGAGCTCCCATTTTTACCCCATATACAGATTGCAGAATCACATCAGTTACACATCCATTGATTTACATATTGCCATACTAGTGTCTGTTGTGTTCTGCTGCCTTTCCTATCCTCTACTATCCCCCCTCCCCTCCCCTCCCCTCCCCTCTTCTCTCTCTGCCCCCTCTACTGACAT